GGCCTGAGCGCGAGGTGCTCCCTGCACACCACGGGTAACCCCAAATATTTGCAGGGGCCGGCACATCCTCCCTGCGCTGCTCTCCTTCTCTGCAGGCACGCAGGAGGGCAGGACCTTCCTCATTAATAGGAAATGATTAATTTCCAAAGCCTGCTTTGCCCATTTAACATCTCCAGGTCTCGTGCCAGTTTGTCGACGAGCAAGCCCCGTTCTGGGAACGGGAATGAATCCACTTTTCACTTTGCCAGCCTCCAATGTCATTTGCTCATTTCGTGTCTGAAGGACACGCAGCAAAGCCTTTACAGCTAAATCATTAGTGATTTTACAGAGGTTAGGAGTAGCTGGTAGTGCAAAAAAACCCTCTTAGTAAATTTATTACACAGAATCTGACATCGTCCTGCATACATCGCCATGTTCCTGGGAAATAACAAAGATCTCCAGTAAATGAGAGATGCCAGCAAGAACTTAGATAAGTGAACTGGAGGGTTACCTGGTATGGAGGGAAGCAGGGCAGAGACCACATCCAGACTCCCTGTGCAGAGCAGGAAGTGGAATCCTTACCTTCACCTGCTCCAGAAAGGTAAATACCAAAGGAGAAACATGGGAGAAATCCTCCTGCTCTCCTTGGCCATAGAGGGCAGCAGCTGTGCCAGGACAAGGCAGACATCTCCTCCCAGGGACTTGTTTCCCTGGACATCAGCAGGAAAGCCATGGGCCAGCATCTCTCAGAGCCACAGCACTACTGTGTGCCAGAAGCTAAACATCAACCAAAAAGGTGGGGTTTCCCTCCAAATGGAGCTGTAGCAAGGCATCTTCTGCTTGGGCTACAGCCCGCTCTCAGCTGGCTGGAGACAAGCTTTCCTGTCCGCTGGAAAAGAGCTCTCATCACTGGTTTCCATCCAGCTCTCTAGGAAAACAAAAGCCCAACTTTTGGGTGAGGATCATTAATCTCATTATTTTTAGCTGACATTTCTAGGTGTGTTCTCAAAGCTCCAGGCTCACAGCAGAAGCACAGACGAGGACGGATCCATTGTGCACTGGTACAAGATCGCTCCCAAAAATGGGTGGAAGCAGATGACAGGTAACAAGTCTGGAATTGTGGCGATCAAAGAGGAGGAATGGAGGACATCTGGCAGAGGACAACCAACTGCTCTCTGCTGTCCCATCAGGGGCACCCCAAGAGCTCTTCAGCAGCTCAGCCACGTCCCTCAGGCTCGAGAAGGTAAGGCACAGATGCTCAGCTTGAGCCACCACTCCAGTGGAAGGAAAGAATGGCCCCTGCTTTGCTAGAGAGGACAATAAGCACCACCCCAGCTAGTCAGAACCTCCTGCAGTGCACCTGGGCCTTTATTTATCCTGGAACCACATCTCAGCTGAGACTCGTTTCTTCCTAACAGGGCTCCTCTGCAGCTGGAGAGCTCCACTGGGGTGCCCCAAGAGGCAGTGGGCATCACTTCTCTGCATGACCCACCTCCAGCTCTTCCTCACCTGGTGATAGCTCCCACAGGCTGTGGAGTTGTCCCTGGGCTATCTGAGCTGAGGAAGATCGTTCAAAAGCAGGAGGAAGGGCGACTGTGGCTGCCCCATCCCTGGAAGTGTTCAAGGCCAGGTTGGACGGGGCTTGGAGCAACCTGGTCTAGTGAAAGGTGTCCCTGCCCATGGCAGGGGGGTCTGAGATATTCTTTAAGGTCTCTCCCAATCCACACCACTTCATGATGCTCTAATTAGGTTGGGTTGATCAATCATGACACAATCCCAACCCAAAGTGCTCCACACTGTGACTGTGGCCAGGCTCCACTAGCACCTTCACTGCTCCCATCCATCAGCATCTCCTTCATACCCAGAAACTTCCCCTCTCCCACACTATTGCTCCCACTTTCCCTCCAGGAGCTTCAAGCATCTCCTGGCGACATCACGCAACACCCTCTTCCCCTCCCTGCCCTTTCATTTCTTTCATCAAAGTTTCTTTTCATCTCCCACCTCCTTGCTCTGGGCTGTTTTGTTCACCTCCTGGCAGCCCACAGAGCTGAGCTGCTGCGCTGGGAAGGGCTCTGCACCCAGCGTGGAGGTGGGAGCCCACACCAATGTGGAGCCCTCCTGGGGGGAGCAAACCCCGGCGTTGGAGCAGCTCAAAGCCCCCCTGAGCCTCACGAGCTCCCCACAAACAGAGCTCCAACAGAGCTCCGTGGGATGAGGCGCCCGTCTGTGTCTGTCACATACGGAGAACACGGCAGACATACAGGGAAGGGTGTTTGAGCACAGGCTCCAAACACGGCGTTTATTCTGTGGGAGTCTCCACGCCCACAAGCGTGCTCAGGTCATGCCAGCACAGAGAGCAGTGATCCTGAATGCTAAAGGAAGGAACGGGGAGGAAGATCCCCCAGGACAGGCGGGCAGACACAGCCGGAGGCACAAAGGTTATCTGCAGATTACAGGTGCGATGCTCCCACCGTCGGGGGTGCGGAGACGGTACAACGCGAGAGCAAGACCCGGAGGAGGGAGGAGAGATAAGCTTGAGCAAAGCGACGCTTTTGAGCCTCTTTGGCAACAGCAAAATCATCCCTTCATTTTAGATTAGCTGATTTTCGCGTGTGTTGTGTTTTTTCAAAGGTCAGCGCATCAGTGCAGGTTTGTGTGTTTGAAGAAGAAGAATACTGACCCCTTTTGAGGCTCTTCAGTGTTACACTGAGCTCATTCCCTTCATCTCTCTCAAAATAATTTGGAATAATCTTGCAGAGCGTGCCCAAGCCCTGTTAAAGGGATAAAAAAGGGTTTGCCTCAGCTTGCCCACGTGGCTGATGGCCAGAGGCTGCATCACACAGGCCAGACTGAACAGGGGGTACTGGGAGGAGAACACACTTTTTCCCCCCTTTGCACTGAATATCATCATTTTGCCAGAACTCAAGCCCCCGCAGTTGGTTATAAATCATCCATCAATCATGATTTAAAAAGAAAACCCCTTTTGCTTTCTCTCACCACCAGTGAGCCAGGCCAGAGCACAGGGCCAATGCTGCTGCCTCGAGACCAGGCAGCACCTCGGGGTTCACACACTCCACCCCTAACTGTACATACAATTTTACATACTCCATAAATGTACTCATAAAATAATCTATTTATTTCTTTCCTAAAATAAAACGATCAACAAGCTGAGAACCGCAGTACAACAGACAACCTTAGCTGTGAGCCGCTGATTTTTCTATGATACATTATATCCGATATGCCGACGCAATGAGTGGAACGTACCAATTTGGGTAATTGGTGAAGGCCTCAGAGTGTGTGTGCGCTGCTGATCTGCCCTAAAATGTGTATTTACCGCGCGGGTTGTTTGCATTCCTGATGATCTGCGAAGCCGAGGAGTTAATCAGGCAATCAGCTCTGCGCCTCCTCGGCTCTGGTGTGGGGGAAGCCGCCCAGACTGTAATTTTAAAGCTGCCAAACGCCATTAAACTGTTAAACGGAGCAGGGGAAGGATTCTGCCGGCAGCAGACACCGCGGCAGGTAGTCCCTTGAGCCGGGAGGACGCCTGGACAACGCGGGGAAACACACTGTGAGGAGCAACTCCGGGATCCAGCGCTGACCAACACTCCCGACGGCACTGCACTAATTCTTTGAGACTGGTTTCAATTTAAGTCTGAGCACTGGCTCAACTCTTCCCACTGGATGATAGCATTCCCATTCCTCCACCTAAAATCCACTTGAGTAATCAACTGCAAAGTTAATGACTGGGGTCCCAAATCAGCAAAGTACTTGAGCACATGCTGAAGTCCCATTGAAAGAAATTAGACCTAAACAGAAGCTTTGCTCCAAAGAGAGCGGGCTTTGTGTAAAACGCAGCAAGAAGGTGGTTCAAAGCAAATGTAATAGCCTATGGAAGTAAACTGTTCTCACTTAGGTGGCTTCCAAGCATCCTGCTCAGCACTCACAAGGACCTGTTGGAAGCATGGGAAACCTAGAGCCTTAGACCTGGCTTCATTTTGTTGCCAGCCAAGTCTGAGCTCAGGTTCAGAGAATAGACCTGGGACTTGCAGGCAGGTCCCCAGGTCCTGAACGCACAAGAGCACCTCCTGGGGTGCCCTGAGGTGGCAGTCGGATGAAGGGCACAGCATCCACTGTCCCACCAGGCAGGACCAGCACAAACCAGTCTCTCCGAACTCCGCACTGGGATACCCAGCGAGCCGCGGGCAGACTCTGCCCAGCACCGCTCCCTGCAATGAGATCCAGCAGGGAGGGCAGGGTTACAGCCCGGGGACCCCGAAACGAGCCCCCTCCTCGCCAGCAGCACTCCCCCCTGGCTTTTCCAAGGACAGGACTGAGTCTGCACATTCCCCGGCCCCGCGGCCCCGCTCCCGCCCCGCTGATCCCCCTCGCGTCAGCGGGTTCGCAGAAACCCAGCGTCCCACCCCCCCTGCCACCTCCCGGTCACGCTCCGGAGTGACGGGAAGAGCAAGGATCGAGTTTCCCTGTGCACCGGAGAACAGGAATAACGTTTGGTCCTGCCAAGGGCAACACCTCACTCTGGCAGGTTGCACAGGTAACACCTGGCACAGTTGAAGTCGAGCTGTAAGGTGCCTTAAATGTGGGATTTTACAGCCCCACGCGGTGTTAATGTGTATGTATTGATATGCATATACATCAATAACCAACCTGATCCAAGGAGACAGTTTCCCTGGAAGTTTTCCAGCATCTGGATATCTTTATTACGGTGAAATACTTAGGTCAGAGCCCTAACTTGCATAAACTGGCACAGCTCTGCTGAAATCAATACCCCCACGCCAGCTCCTGCTATTTGATGAGGTGGCCCAAGATCTCTACATTGGTTTTACTGTCTTCCTTCATCATTTGCCCAGTTCTCATTTTAGGGCCTCTTGTATTTTTTCAGCTGATTTTATTTCTGTTTGTGGAGTCCTGGGCAAAGGCTGTGAGCACGGAGAAACCACAACAGCTTCGCTTGTCAGTGAGAAATCCAGTCGTGCTCACCATCTCAGGGAGGGTTTGTTTTAGTCTCCCAGCACTAGGAGATTACTTCTCGGTTTCCTGGAGATCCCCAGGTCCAACACCTCCCCTTAATCCCTCTTGGTGTCCAGCCCAAGGGTCAAGCACAGGAGCAGCCTGAGACATGGTGGACCACGAGGCACTCATGCTCTCCCACCTTCACCCAGGGTGCAGAGACACCCGAAAAAACCAGGAAAAATCCTTTTCTTACAACAACCTCTTGCAGAAAGTCAAGAGCAAAGTCAGAGACATCTTTCACAGAGGCAACTGCAGCGGGAGGGTAAGAGAGAAGGCCACACTCGGCCTCCACAGGGGGACCAAAGCAGTTTACGTGCTAATCCCTGTGTGAGCAACCAGAGCTGGCACCAGCCGGAGCCAGTTGTCTGACTCCAGCTCTTGGCAGGGAGGGACGGATGAACAAAAATATGTAGCGCAGGCACTGGCTGCCCAAAGCCACGGGTTGTTGGCTGTCAGCAAACGGACCCAGACGGAAAAATAAATACAGAGAACATCTCGAATTTGGAGAGCAATTCCTGCACAGCTGCAGAGCTCAGCAAGACCCCTGCCCAGGCTTTTCAGTGCCCACAGCACTTTGATGGTGCGGCCAAGGGCAGGGAGAAAGCTACCATCCCTCCCCCAGCTCACGTGTGCATGCAATGCTTTCAAGCTCAGGGATTTGTTTTTTCTGGGGAAAAAAAAAAAAAAAAACAAACAAAAAAACCCATAATCCTGAAACCACAGAAGAGGAGGAATGAGGGCAAAGAAGGGATTTTGGCAGGAGGGTGATGGAGGATGATGCTGTGAAGGGGTTATATTCTAGGGAAGGTAGCCCGATGCTCCCATGGGATGAACAGTGCTGTCCTCGTTGACAGCCTGGATCCAAGCGTCCATCCACACAGATGCTTTTGGAAGCACCACCTGTACATGTGCAACATCCCAACACTCCATAACGCTGTGACAGGGCTGGCATGGGCAGGGAGGGAGGACAAGATGTATCTAGATCTAAATAAGGCCACAGAGGTAAGGGCAGGATCATTTTAAACAGTTAAAGTTTCATTTTAATGGATACCACAAGAGGGAAAACATTCCCTGTGGCAAAGGGCAAAGCATGTACTTTCTTTTTCCGAGACAGGTTTTGCAGTCAGCCTCCTTGGGGAAACAAAGCACGTTTTCATCCATCCCCACTCCCTACCCCACAATTTTAGAACCTGTCGGTTCGTTTTAGCCAGGTCAGAGTAGGGGGGATGTCTGAGGGAATTTCTGCTCCTACACTTTGTGGGTTACTCCCCACTTCCACATTTTTTGGAGAATCGTGGCACTACTTGCTCAAACACATAGAATATCACTTCAGAAAAAAACAAAACAAAACAAAAACAAATAACAAAACAAAACAAAACAAAAAAACCACACAAAACCAGCCAAGTCGTGACTTGTGTTGCCAACTCTGCCATTAAGCTTGTTCAGCTTCAACAGCACAGATCTACAAGTACTTTGCAAGGGCTTACCCCACCTTCCCCTAAAAAAAATTTCATTAGAATTAGCATTACTGAGGCTGGGTCACACACCTACCTGCTGGAAAACCTTGAGGCAGAAGGTGGTGGTGCCTTGGTGCACCAGATGCCTCGTCCAGCCCCAGCTTTGTGAGGCTGTGCTTTGCATCGGGGTGCACTCAGTGCCACTTCAGCAGATTGGCTCAAGGACGATGGATTAAACAAGGCCAAGCAGATCAGCCACTGGAAATAACAGCTCTGGTGAGCCTCACATCCTTCTGTCCTTCCAAAGTGATTGTGAGCTATTTTTTTCACATGGTCACTAAAAGAAATGTAATATATCACCTTTTACACCGTGACTTGACCCTAGACCTTCCCAAATGTTTGCTGGCAAACTGTACCACTGGGTGCATCTGCTCCAAAACCATCAGCAAGAACTTTCCTCTTTCCAAAAAGACTTAGTTCAGAGGATAGAAGGGTTTTCTAACTCTTCCTGAGGCTGGTGGGAGTTTGGTCTCACCCACAGACTCCAGCATCCTGCATTACTGGAGTGAGGAAGGTGTGTGTGCCTAAGGGGAGCAATGCCAGGTGGAACCCCACATATCACTAAGCAGAATCACAACAGTGTTTGCTTCACAATTCGGTTTTTCCTGGTCTGTTCTGAATCTCAGTTGGGTTTGGGGCTGGAGGGGCAGCAGCTTGGTCCAGCTCCTGTTGCAGTCCCACCGGCTCTTCCCTGGCAGAGAAGAATTAATAACTAAACACGAGCCAGGTGAGGAGTAGTGGGGCTAGAAAGCAACTGCAATATTTCCCTTTTAAAAGGCAGGAGGGCAGGAGCTAGAAGCTAAGTGGCAATTCATCTCCCTTCTGCAGAACAGCATTTCCAGGTAAATCATTAGGGATGAGCCAGACACTGCCATTTACATTTCCCATAGTCGATGGCAGGGTCCAACCTCTCCAGGGTTGGGGGAAACAGCACAGAAAAAAGCTGAGAGGGCAGACCACCCACCAGCAGTATGGTCATGAGTGGAAGGGACCTTCTGCAGAAAGTTGGATGGAGCCACTACCTCCCCACAGCACGTCTTGGGAGCCTTCAGCTAAAACCAGCTCTGAGCCCCCGAGCTCCCTCCACCGTGACAGTGGATTTGCTGCAGCCCGAGTGAGGCAGCCCTGGACTGGCCACCTGCAAGCTGGGCTGGCCCTGGAAGCCCTCTGAGCCACAGAGCCCTCACAGCATTACTGAACCTGGTGGCTCAGCCCATCACCTTGACTTCAGGCACCGGCCCAGCGTGAGGGTGGGTGATGGTCCCCAACCATTCACTGTGATGCACAGGCTGCTCTTACCTCACCAAGTGTCCAAAATTCCAGCAGGAACCACCACATTCTAAAGCCCATGGCTCCGAGCCCGAGCGCTGCCCTTTAAGAGCCCGGCCCCTCTGCGGTGTGTGCGCACAAAGACAGGCAATGTCATCTTCCCGCCGCTCCCTTAACTGCTTATCGATCCCAAAGAGCCCCGGAATGGATTTCTCCGGCTAGCTATCATCCTCCACAGCCCGGGAGATCCCCCCTGTATTAGAGAGCAGACATCTCAGTCAGAGCTTTATTTACTGTGAAGGAGCAATTAAGCCCTCCCGGTTCGATTTATGGCCGGCACAGATAACCCCGCTCCACACGAGCCAAGGCCACTTTAACTTTCACACACTCACCTCTTGCCAGGTGCAAAAAAACCAGCTTAATTGGTGCATTTTTTATATCCCTAGCCCAAATTCAAACCTCATCTGTGATCAGTGCAGTACAAGCCAGGAAATTATTCCCTAGAAATGTGTTTAATAGATTTTCACTGTGCTCACTGCAGTCACGGAATCAGAGCTCAACTCATCCGGCTTTATTTTCTGAAAGCTGCATCCTGAAGGTGATATTTGGGATGCTGGGGATTTAAATGTCCAGCTCCATGCTCAGGACAGTGTGGCAAAGCCACCAGGCTATAATGTACAGCAAGTGACACCCACAGTGCTGCTCCACTTGGAAAAGAAAGACACTGTCACGAGGGCAGGGACACGACGGCTGGTGATGAGGGGACCCAGCTGAACACCAAGCCAGCCTTGGTGGAGGGGCTGGAAGCCAGGACACCCCTCCCAGGCTCCAGGGTGCAGCATCCCAGCACACAAAGCCTCTTGCTGGTCCGAGCCTGAGCTGCTATTCCAGCAGTTTGCCATAGATAATGTTCATGCTTTACGGAAAATCAGCAAGATTGATTCAGATCTGCACTTTATTAATTTTTCCAGCTACCAGCAGTGAATTAATCCAGTTGGAGACTGACTTAACTTCTCAATAATGCCCAGATTTTCCACACTAGCAAATTCATTTCTCACTACCCACAGTGGGGTTTGGGTGGCAGGTGAAGCATCTCGATGCTGCTGTGCTGCTCCTTCCAGACATCCCAGCTGCTGAGAGCCCACCAGGAATACACCCAATGTCCTTCTGGGTGAGAGTCTGTGGGATTTGAAGAAAATCTCTTTTTAACTAACTCTATGTCTTAGCAGGACAGAGCATTAAGACTGGGGAGAGGGGGAAGTCCTACTTACAGACTCACCGAGCTGCTACATGGCACCGGTTTTAAACTTGTAGAAGTGGTTACTTTCATTTTCAGAGCTGGGTTTAGACCAGTAACAGGCTTCATTTCACATTTTCTCAACTGAGCTCTTCTGCATTTGAACCAGCAGAATGTGCTGATGTGCCCAGTGTCCCAGGGACGTAACCTACCCTCAGCTGCAGCCCTGCCCACACCACCTGGAGCTGTGGAAGCAGGAGCCCCTGCTGAAGAACCGTTGTACCCAGCCAGCTCTCCCCTCCTGATGATTAGCTGGACACCCAACAGTCTCTGTTCTCAGCCTCATTAACCCCTGGCATTGATGGTCTTCCCTGGCTGATGTCCTGAGATCACTTCTGATGGCCCTACAAGAAGGATGCCAGGAGCCACTCAGCTCCTCACCCACTGCCCAGCACCCGGCACCGATCAGAGTCACCCTGTAACCCAGGATGAGTGGGAAATGTCTCAGGATGCTGCTTTTTCTTAAGCAGACACTTAGAAAGCTTCTGAAAACTACATAAATAAATAAAAATATTGATAATGATAGCCTGGCTATTTTTAAGCTAATCCTTGCACACCAGCCCTGCTAAACTGATGTTAGCGCCCAACTCTGGGGCCTGATTACAGTGAGATTCATTTGGGGTTTAATCTAATCACTGTTCCTGGAGTGTTTTCTAGGGTGTTTGCACAGAGCACTTGGGTGATAAACTGAGAGACCTTTCGAGGCAGTCATAGCCCATGTTGGTAAACACCTCCTCCTGCACAACTGCAGGTGCCACCACCCGCCACACCTGCTTTCCAGTCCTGCTTTCTCTTTTGCTTTCACTTCCTGCACCCTTCCAGGCAGCCAGTAAGGAGCAGAGAACTTACCCCAGCTCGTTTCCTTGTTGCCTCTCTGTGCTCCATGGCACCTACTTGTGTTGGCATTTCCTGGTGCACTCACACACAGGCATCCTGTCAAAACCACCCCCCAGCCAGTGCTCGGTACCACACCTGGCCAGGTAGAGAGATCTCCTTTATGAGCTCCCGTAAATGGAGCTGTTACTGGAGTTGACAGGTGCAAAGATCAGCCCTGGTGGGACTATAAACTTCACTCACTTCCACCTTTTCCCACAACTTTTCCCATCTACTCCACGGAAAGCGAAGCTGTGGCCGGTCTGACAGAGCCCCAGAAGGTCTTGCTCACATCCTCACCTGCATGGGAAACATCCGAAGCTTCTGCATCACCTGGGCAAGGAGGTAATCACAATTCCAGTAGGGACTGATGGTGTCTTGGCAGCTGCTGGTTTTTAGAAATCCTGCAGTATCCATCAGCTTCCTGGAGAGGCAAGATGGGAGCGCTGGGATGGGAGGTGTGCTGGAGGCTGGGAGCACTGGGACAGCCATCCATGGTACTGCAGACTTATACACTTATTTGCTCTCAGATAATGAAAATAAGAGGGGAAAAAAATAAAATTCCCTTCTAGCCCTTTGGACAATGTCTGCATGTTAATTTAGCAACTTCCAGGCAGGATGGTATTTTTGTCCCTGCCTATGGCAGGGGGGTTGGAACTGAGTGATCTTTGAGGTCCTTTCCAACCCAAACCGTTTTATGATTCATTCTGTGATTTATTGTATGATGGCAAATTAATTTAGAACAAAAAAAAAACCCATTCAGCATCTGAAATAGAGTATTATTTCCTGCAGCATTAATCGGTGGCATTGCTACCACATAATTTGTTACCGGTGGCATATTTCTGTATGGCTTCATTTCCTTAAAAGCACGGGAATTAATTAGGTGTTTGCATTGGGAAGGGACTGGCAGGCACTGAGCATAATATGGGCAATCACCAGAGAGGCTGCACAGAGGCATTAAGGGTTTGTAAACCACGGTGTAAATACCACGGCTCTCCTGCCCTGCGGGGATTGATCTGCTCACAGGCAGATGTGATTCAGCAGCTGAGCACCTGCCCCTCTGGATTTAAGCGCAGAACAAGAATTCACCTCATCTAAGTCACATACAGCAACACTGAATCATCAGGATTTGCTTCTCAGCAGCTGAGTGACTGAGTAGCTTTTCCCAGAAGGAAGTCCATTAGGCAGCGCACAGCCCCGGGGTGTAACCGGCCCTGGAGTGATGTCAGCCAGGTGAATCACAGCCCCTCAGCTGAAACTGCAATTGCAGTTCTCCTCCTTATCTTGTACCCCGAGGGACTCCGGCTGGGAAAATCCCCATCCCTGGTCAGGGCAAACAGCCCCGGAGAAGAGCTGCCTAGGGGAGAATCTGCTGCTGAGGAGAAGTGTCACCTCCATGCTCAGAGCCAGGATGATGGAGCAGCTGGAGGCACAGCCCACACTCCCCGCTCCATGGCTGGCTGGTGTGTCTGCAGCCATTCCCAGGAAGGGCAGAGATGGGAGAGGGCTTAAGGCCAGCAGGTCGAGGGGGGTGATTCTGCCACTCAATTCCATTCTGGTGAGACCCCACCTGCAGAGCTGCCTCCAGCTCTTGGGCTTCCAACATAACAAGGACATAGAGCTGCTGGAGCAAGTCCAGAGGAGGCCATGGAGATGCTCCAAAGGCTGGAGCCCCTCTGCTCTGGAGCCAGGATTGGCGAGCTGGGGCTGTTCACATGGAGAAGGGAAGACCCCAGGGGGACCTTAGAGCTCCCTTCAGTGCCTGAAGGGGCTCCAGGAGAGCTGGAGAGGGACTTAGGACAAGGGTCTGGAGAGATAGGACAAGGGGGGATGGCTTCCCACTGCCAGGGGGCAGGGTTAGGTGGGATATTGGGAAGGAATTCTTCCTTGTGAGGGTGGTGAGGTCCAGGCCTCCTCTGACCAAGCATTAAAGTGGATTGCCCTAAGAAAACCTTTCCATGTTTTACACAGGTTCAGAATTCACTCTAAACTGATCTATTTTATACACATGCATTACAGATTTGTATAAACGTGACCTTTTAAGAGCTGTCCTGTGCACTTGTTGAGCGTTACATATAAACCGAGCATGAAATATTTCAACCAACAGCTTCCAGGTGATGTGAGGGTAAAACTCAGGGCTGGGAAAAGGAGAGGAGAGGCAGGCTCAGAACATCAAGTACTAAAGAGAAATGTGCCTCTAACCTCAGCTCTGCAGCAGGTTCATGAGGTTCTTCACCCTCAGATCTCAGTCCTCACTCTTCGAGACTCAGGCAGGAGTTCAGGTGACCTCTTTAAGGTGTGCTGAGACCCCTGAGGACAAAAACGAGAGATGACAGTGGCTTTAGCTGCCAAAATCCTAAAAAACTAAATGCTTTGAGGGCCGATCAGAAAACATCAGAAATGTTATAGGAATTAGTAAAAAAAAAAAATCTCCAGTTTGGTGCTTTCTCATGGACCTTGTATAAGAGACCTTTCCTACAGATAACTTGGTAACTCCATCATCAAACTTCCACTAAAGCAGGGCAGAAACAGCTCGAGTCTCTGGGTCAGAGCTGGGAACTGTGGCAGTGAATCTCCCACAGCAGCCCTTGCAGTATTAACATTTAAAAAATCACGAGACCTCAAATATCCCGACGCTAAGTCTCATGACCTTTAAGTCAACTAGATTCAGGTTTCTTTTTCTTTGACTCTCGCTATGCTTTTGGGATGGAAATAAAAGACCTCGTTAGGTTTAGGGAACATTGCAGGGAGCTTCCACCAGCCTTTTCTTCCCAAATTTACATTTCTGGTCCCCTAACGTCAGGTATCATAAGTTCTGATTTATTTTTAAGCAGTTCTTTCAATGCTGATGCATTTTGTTTTTAGGGCAATTCTTGAAAGATTTTTAACCTTGGTGGAAATGAGTCTCCCTGCGAGGGTCACTCTGATCCAAACCAGCATTAAGTTGGCTCTCAAAGAAAATCTCTTTCTGAATAAGGAGTGGCCTCGTGCATTTTACAGGCTACAAGGAGAGCGAGGGCTAAGATTCAAAGACAGAATATTAGAATAATAGAAAATGCCCCAATCCACGTGCTGTGCCATGTCCTTGGGCACACAATACCCCAGGAGTCCTCATTCAATCCTCTTGCCACATTTCTGCCTTTGATAACACGCTCCACTGAAAAACCAAACCCCAGCTCAGAGAAAGTTGTGCTTTGGGCTGCGTTTGTTTGATTGGCTCAAATCAAAACGTGGAGTCAGGTGTTTGTTGGCAGCTCTTTAGCACTGAGAAAAGCCCTTTCCTGCTTTTCTTCTGCATTCCCAAGGTGTATATTTTAGATAAAAGTCCCATTTATGACCAGGGCACTCACTGCTGCTCCCAAAAGGAAGAAGACAGGGCCTGCTCCTGCTCTCCCTGCTCCTTCTCACTATCCCAATGTGCCTCGTGGCTCTTGGCCCTTGGCTTTGCCACAAGCCAGCAGGGACCCCTGACATCCCCTTTTCTGGACAGCAAGCGAGCACAGAAACCCCGCAAATCCTGCTGCCCACATTCAGCAACCCCGAGTCCCCCCTCGGCGCCCTCCAGCCCCTCGGCTGCTCCCCACAGCCCCGAGGCTGGACGGGGCCGCAGGCACAGGGACGCTGGACCGGCACAGCCTGGGGACACCCAGCCACCTCTGCCGGCGGCTGTGTTTGTACGTTCAGATAAATATACACGGGGCAGAGCCGAAAAGACAGAGTCAGCTCCTCGCCGGGGTCCGGCGGCTCCTGTTACCGGCGGCTCCCGCGCCCAGCGCACGCACGCTCGTTATAGCAGCCGTCGGGCTGGCACAGAGCGGAGCAGATGGTCAGGGCAGCTTGGCCCGGGGCCACTGTCAGCCCCGGGCTCCTCACCTCAAAGGATGTGCTCACCGAGGCCACCTGGGCCCCCTGCACACCTGCGGGCAGGCCAGGGCACCGGCACCGGGGGAGAGCCGGAGCGGTTGCTGGCGTGGCAGGGGTTAACACTAAACGGTCCCAAAAATCGCAGTGCCCCCGCGCCAGCATCACCAGCTGCTACGGAGGGTCCTGCTCCTGCGTGAGCAAAAGCCTCGGATAGCTGTAGGCAGAATTGGGCAGGTAGAGACACCCTGAGCAGTGCTGACTGGCAGAGGGATCACAGCACCGCAGGGAAACCCCCAAAGGCACAATCGCCCAGGAACTACCTGCCCTTGGTGGCCGTTGTTGATGCAGCTCCGGCTGCCCAGAGCTCCCAGAAAGGATCTGCTGCCCCGTTTGCCCCTAGGACAAGGGCACAAGGGGCAGAAGGGGCACAACAGGGCAGCAGGAGGAGCAGGGGAGGGGTGGCAATGGCAGGGGCAGGAAGCAGATCCTGAGCCTGGCCACTACCCTGTGGGCTGGGGGCACAGGCAGGGAGCCAGGGCTTGCAGCTGGGCTGCAGGGAGAGGGGCCACGGGCAGGGATTGGCCATGGACATCACTTGGTGTTTTCTGCCCCTCAAATTAGGCATTTTGCACCATCACCAATCAACTGGGGCTTTCTGGCCAAGAGCAATAGCTTCTCCGGGCAACCACAGGAGAGCCCCCGTGGCAGGGGCACAGTGGGGGCTCTGTGGTGCATCAGAACAGGAGCTCCTGCAGCACTAACACAGCTGTGGGCACGTGAGAGCCCAACAGCTCTGCTCCAAACTGTGCTCCCAGGAGCCCCAGGCAGCGAGCACGGCCATAAAGAGCAGAGGCAGCAGTGCTCCAACTTCCTGGCACTCGGGGAATCTTCCTGGATCACGTTACGTTCATGTGTCCTTGGCTCATCTCTGTACAGTTGAAAAACACTGTAAGGGGAGCCAGTTAATTGGGACAGCAGGGCTTAAGGAGCAAAACCCAGGCAACCAGCTCCTGCTTAATTGGAGTCCTGCTGCTGTACCCAAAGCAGCCTGTTTGCACAGCCCTGCTTTCTCAGGTGCTCTCTGGCTGCTGGTCACGGTCAGCTGCCCACCAAAGCTCCGTGTTGCTCCCAGGCTGTTCTGCAACATGGTCCTGAGGAGTGGCCAGTTCCCACTGTTGGTGGGGTGGTTGTGGAGTCCTCATCCCTGGAGGTGTTCAAGAAACAACTGGACGTGTCACTCAGTGATCTGGTCTAGTTGACAAGGCAGTGTTCAGTAAAGGTCAGACTTGAGGTCTTTTCCAACCTAAATGATTCTGTGATTTTGGCACCAAATGAACCAGAAAGAAGGCAGGCATTAAGGGTAATGGCTGGTTGTGACCCCCACGCTGGCACAGATGAGGACAGTGGGGTAGTTGCAGTGGCACTCAGCATTCACTCTGCTGGTGCTGCATGTCACAACCTGCCCTGCCTTAGCACGAAAGGCTCCCAGCCCTGAGGGGATGTTCCCAGGCACTGCCACGGTACAAATAAATAACAACAATAATAGTCGGTGGGGGGGAGCCCTGCCATCTGACCCAGTGCTGATGGAAAGAGCAAAGAGCCTGTGTTTGCCCCCAGCAATGTGAATCCACTGGCATCTGGTCACCGAGCAGGAAGGGCTGACGGTCGTTTGGAGGGAGTGGCCGTGGCAGTGGGGCCGTGGTGACAGAGCTGTGCTGGCACCAGCACCCACACAGCTCCAGACTTTACTGGTGCAAACCCATCACAGGCAGATGAGCTCCAAACAGCAAGTGCACCACACACAGCCCTCACACCTAACACCCAGGAGACCTTCTCTTACCTTTGTTATGGATGCTTATTTAAGGAATACTTTTAGAGTGATGAAGATGCTTTGCCTCTTCAGTGTTTTCCCTCTCTGAAAGAGGACCAGTCCTCACTTCCTTGGCTCTGTAGGGGTTGTCACAGGGGTCGGGTCTTTTTTGCTTGAGTAGTCCTAAAGCAGAAAGGGACACAGATCAGGAGGGCAAGACACACCCTTGGCCCAAAGGCATCGGCTCCAAACGCAGCCTTGAGCCACGGGCAGGGAGGAGGCAGACAAAGGGCCACATGGGTCACCATGGATGTCCCCGTAGCACCCTTGAGCTAAAACAGGTGACAGAAGCAAAACACAGATTTGAGGGAGAACTGCTCCCTTCCAGGTGGGCAGCTTGGTCGCTCAAGGCCTGGGAACTGACAGTCCTGTTTTCCTCCCAGGCTCTGCCCGGGCTGTGGAAGCGAAGATGACGATAAAGCCGATGACCTCAGTAAGTCAGTTGTGGGACCAGCACTAGAGTGACACTGGTGTTTAAAAATGCAACCTCAAGTACAGCAAGCTGGGACTTGTGGAGGACTCTGCCTTACCCCTTCTGCTTTTCCAGTTCTGGGGGATCTTGGGAAAAATAAAAGAGCTTCCTCTGATCCTACCAAACAAGAGGGATAAACTCCAAGTGGTGTTGTATCAGGGTGCAATACACAAATTACCACTGCCACCACTCCAGTTCCCCAGTTTTCAGGGAACTAATAAATTTCCATAGAATCACAGAATGGTTTGGGTTGCCATGAGCAGTGACACCTTACATGAGACCAGGTTGCTCCAAGCCCCATCCCACTCAGCCTTGAACACTTTCAGGGATGGGGCATCGACCTCACTGGGCAGCCTGTGCCATGAAGTTGTAAAATATTTCTAGAAAGAAAAAATAAAAACAAAGACTATTCTTATTAGCAGTGAGGTGGTTGATGCTCCTTCCCACCCAGTTCAGCTGCACCAAATCCAAGCAGGTCTATCCCTGTCTTTAATCACAATATGTGAGCTTGGCTGGATGAGCAGGGAAGGGGGGTGAATGGTACCTCCAGCTCATCTCCCAAAGAACAAAATGCCAAGCTCTGCTGAGCACTGTGGCAAACCTGGGACTCTCTGGGCAATCTGAAGGAGCTGGCGGGAGAGAGAGGCAAAGTAGAGCATCATTCCTGGGGTAACGGCCCATGCACACTCCTGCCCTGAGGCTCAGCCCATCACATTTCCAAGAGGAAAGCTGAGGGAGCAGCACTGTCCTTGCAGCTGCCTCAATGACAGGAATAATGTGCTGCAGAGCTAAGGGGGACAATGGGACAATGATAATGAAAATACAGGAGTGAAAATTCATTACTGGAGTCTGCTCGGGAGCATCCTGAGGGATCCCCTAAGGCTTTCTGGGCTGCTTTAACCCTTTGGGCCTGGCTCTGGTAGTCAGGCCGATGTGCTGTGCTGCTGTCTGTGCTTTCCTTCTCTTTTTTTTCCCATTTCTC